CTGCTGGTGGGAGTGGTGGGGAAGACAAGCAAGAAATTCACCAACCCAAGACACTGCACGGATGGAAGGCCGTCGTGCTCTTCTGTCCCTGCCGAGATACAGGGAACACACCATACTCCAGACCCACCAGCAGCAGCGAGAATTACATGATTTGGGAAAGATCAGAAATTTTATACAAGTCCAGCCCCCCAGATTCAGACACATACAATCTCCCTAAGACTAAAGTTGAAACAGGAGTATCAAGTAATGTTTCTCTCCTCACTACAATTCTTACTCCAAATACCAAAGGACAAACATCGGATCTCACAAGAGCTACTGAAATCTGAGAGTGTGACAAAAATACTGAGAAAATCCCAGTGCTTTCTGTATGCTGCCTCTGCTATGGCCTAGCTTATGAAATACCCTAAATTAATTTCGGGTGCTGGCCTAGAAATCTGATTCTTGAGTTCAACCTTACTGAATGGCTTATTTTTTGTTTTGTTCGGCAAATACTCTGTGCATGCAAACACAGTGGTAGGCATGGGCAAGATCTCACGGAGAACCCTGACTCCCATTACCATACGGTAGTAGCTTGGCAGGTAGGACCAGAGTTCATGTCTAAAGTCCACTGTCACGGAGATTTCTTCTTCCACAATAGCTCTTGATTGAGTCTTCACTTTTTTTTTTTTTTTTTTTTGGACAGGCAGAGTGGACAGTGAGAGAGAGAGACAGAGAGAAAGGTCTTCCTTTGCCGTTGGTTCACCCTCCAATGGCCGCAGCGGCCGGCACGCTGCGGCCGGCGCACCGCGCTGATCCAATGGCAGGAGCCAGGAGCCAGATGCTTTTCCTGGTCTCCCATGGGGTGCAGGGCCCAAGCACCTGGGCCATCCTCCACTGCACTCCCTGGCCACAGCAGAGGGCTGGCCTGGAAGAGGGGCAACCGGGACAGAATCCGGCACCCCGACCGGGACTAGAACCCGGTGTGCCGGCGCCGCTAGGCGGAGGATTAGCCTAGTGAGCCGCGGCGCCAGCCAAGTCTTCACTTTTATTCCCACTTCCACCACCCCAGCACAAATGGTATTATATTGAACATAACTTGCAACACAGAAATTTGCCTGTTTGTGATCTCTCCCCTAGCTTTCTACACCATCCATAAAACCTTTCATAAATCTTTATTAAACACTGCTTTTCTCATGCCAGCCCCTGTGCAAGAATCTTCAGTAGATTCCCATGTCCTACATTCTGATATCCATGACACCAGTGAAGACAAGCTAATCTATGGACAGTGCTGGAAGGCCTAACAAAATAATTAGGAATATAAGATGACACTACTTAAGCTCCATTCAAGTTTTAAAAAACAGGATAGAATTATAAGACTGAAGCCCATGGAGTTGCATTTGGAAAATGTTGTATACGAGAACTATATCAGTGTCCATTCAAAAAGTATCAACTACACAGAGATGCAATAGTCCTCCATTATCAACCAAGGATATGTTTTAAGACATTCTGCAGATGCCAGAAATCATGGATAGTACCATATATATATACCATGGATACTTTTCACTAGACATATATACTTGTGATAGTTTCATTTACATATTAGTCATGGCAAGAGATTTCCAAAAAAATCTAACAAAATTAACAATTATTAAAAATACAATGCTATTTAAAATATGAATTGCTTATTTCTGGATTTTCCATTTAGTATTGTCGGACCACAGCTGACTATCAATAACTGAAAATGCTGAAAGTCAAACCATATAATTTCAAATAAAACATAGTTAACTAAATAAAAAACTATTAAATAGTTTCACTGAAAGAGTACAGACAAGAGGTAGCAACTGCAAGAAACAGTTTTTATCCATAGGCTTGAGGGAACAAAGAGAAAAGGGTGAAATTGTTAAAACTTAGAAACTTGGAGGAGAGGCTTATGCTTGATGGTTAAAATCTCCATTCCATGATTTGTTTGCCCTTAACTAGGACTTCAGTTGTTTGGTGTCTTAGTTTGTTTGGGGTGCTATAACAGGTATTTCTCACAGTTCTGGAGGCTGGGAAGTGCAAGGTCAAGGTAGCAACGGCTTTCATCTCTGGTGAGGGCTCACTTCCTGTTACTACAAGGCACCATTTCACTATGTCCTCACGTGATGGGAGGGACAGGCGGCTTTCTGTTTCTTCTTGTAAATGTGCATGTGTAAGGGCTACATTTTAAATGTAATCATCTCCAAAAGGCCCCACCTCCTCCTTGGAGATTAGAAGTCCAACATATGAATTTGGGGAGTACCCATGCATTTAGACTATTTGAGTAGTCCTGACAGGCTGAGAAAACCTCCAGGCCTGATGGGTCTGAATCCTCAGTACCCTGCTTTAGTCACGCTAATTTTCCACTAGCGTTTACAAATGGATATGAAAGTACTGAAGTACCCCTAGAAAACCCCTTAATTTCCAATGGTGCCTCCACTGTATAACATAAGCCAATTTCCCTTACATTTCCAGATGTAAAGTACTGAATACGTTCTTTTGAATTGTTTTTGTTGTGTTTTGTTGATGAAATGCCAAAATATAGGCCGGTGCCGCAGCTCACTTGGCTAATCCTCCACCTGAGGCACCAGTACCTCGGGTTCTAGTCCTGGTTTGGGCACCGGATTCTGTCCTGGTTGTTCCTCTTCCAGTCCAGCTCTCTGCTGTGGGCCGGGAGGGCAGTGGAGGCTGGCCCAAGTGCTTGGGCCCTGCACCCGCATGGGAGACCAGGAAGAAGCAACTGGCTCCTGGCTTCGGATCGGTGCAGCACACCGGCCATAGCAGCCATTTGAGGGGTGAACCAATGGAAGGAAGACCTTTCTCTCTGTCTCTCTCTCACTGTCTAACTCTGCCTGTCAAAAAAAAAAAAAGAAAGAAATGCCAAAATATTACATATATTAGATCAAACAGGAAATATGACATGAATTACACAGTAACTCTAAAGAGCAGAACATTTAGAAATGGATTTGGTCTCAGAAACTAACACAAACTGTATCATTTATGGAAACTGATTAATAGTGCTTCACTGCTTCATCAATGTCCAGCATTGTGGCCCAGTTGGTTAAGATACCACCCTCAACACCAACATCCTATATGATCACCAGTTCAAGTCCTAGCTGTTTCACTTCTGATCCAGCTATTTTACCTACTTCATATAGTTCTCACTACAACTTGCTAAGGTATGTATTATTGTCCCCGTTTTACAGACAACAAAACTGACCCAGATTGACTTTCCCAAAGCTATTCAAATAATGGACAACACAGCACCAAAACACACTTTTCTACTACCAAGTCTTGATTGTCACACCATTCCACACTATTGCTTATTATAAATATAATTCATAGATATAGTAAATCAAATTATCCCATGGGATTACTACTTTAGTAATGTAAATAAATTCTGAGACATGATCTAAATAAACTTCATGAGTTATGCTGATCTGTATTTTTAGTGATTCAGTTAACTTTTCCCTCCTTATCAGATGTCTAAAACTCAAAGTTCAACAAATATTAATAAACATGATTTGTATAATCATTCCTTGTCCCTTTCCAAGAAAAAAGTCATTTTACAATCAGCGTTTCTGTAATTAGTATTTTTCCCTTTTTGTAACAGATCTAAGACACCTATTAATTTGACTTACATTTCTTTTGTCTGTTATATAGTTTACACCTAGGTTTGTGTTGCACTACGTCTTCACTGCATACATATTACAACACCCTCATGGCTTCCTTTTGAAATGGCTCCTGCTCTATGACATTAGTGGTATGTATTAAAAACAGACAGTAGGGTGGCTGCTAAGATCTGGCAACAATGAATTCTATCACTTACACCTTAAGTCAGATTCTCCCTTTCAAACTCCATTTCTGAACCTCATTTAACCCTTTCTCTCAACTAGTTAATACCAAATGCCTAGATCTTCATAGACTCCTTTGTCTGCAAAAGGATGTCCTTCTAAGTCATTGAGACTCTGGGCCAGAAGCACTCCAGGTACTTAAGGTATAACACTGAGCACAAGAGACTCAAATCTGCCGTGGGGGGAGTTTCTGTTCTACTGGGACCTCCCCATCAAAATTCTATCCTTGAGTGTCTTTGCCGGAATGAGGAAATTTCAGATTATGGTATACAAGGTATGGAGTTTTTGCTTAAAAAAAAAAACTTATTAATTAAAATATCCTGACATAAGTGGGATGCATTTACCCTTTCCTCCTTTCTCCTGTGAAATGAATTTTTAATTTAAAAATATAATGATGTATTATGGAAAAATGTATAGGGATGTATAAAACTAAACTGTTGTATCAAAAATTCTCAAACATCATTAAGCAGTTTCCATTTTCCCTTTCTGCATGAGTATGTTTCCTGAGGACACCACTGGGGTAAAAACTCTTGCTCAAGTTCGCACAGCCAGCAGGCCAGAGAGTAGAAACCCAACCCGACCTAACTTAATTCTCAGAGCAGGGTTCAAGGCCCTAAACTCGGGTTGCCTCAGCATGCATAGTATCCACACTGCTGGCGTACAAGGTGGCACCATGCACCTGCACAGCCCGCGTTCCTACCTGGAGGTGAAACCCAGAAGCGTGCCGTCACCACGCTGCCACTGCGGTTGCTACAAAAACGAGGTCCACACACAGTTTCCGGTCGTTCCTGCCATTGTGAAAACCAGCACCGCGCCGTCTCCACACCGCGCCGTCCTCACACTGTCCTCACTTGACAGGGAAAAGAGAAGGCGCCATGTGTCCAAGCCACCATGTTAGGTCCACACACAGCTTCCAGTCATTCCTGCTGTTGTGAAAACCAGCACCGCACCATCTCCATGCCGCCATCGTGGTTGTTATAAATACGAGGTCCACACACAGCTTCCGGTCATTCCTGCCGTTGTACACACCGCACCGCGCCGTGTCCACACGGCCATTCCGCGCCGCCCTCACACTGCCCCAGTTGGCGGGGAGAAGGGAAAGCGCGCCACGTCTCCCGCTCCCGGAGCTGCAGGGCTCCCGAGCGGCTCGCGCACGTCCGTTCCCTCGTCAGCCTCCGCGACGCCCCGGACTGGCGCCCGGGCAGGGCCTGCGGCGGGCGCGGCGCCTCCCTCCGCCATGGCTGCCCTCCGGAAGAAGCTGGTGGTGGTGGGAGCCGGCGCCTGCGGCAAGACGAGCCCGCTGGTGGTGTTCAGCCGCGACCACTTCCCGGAGGAGTACGTGCCCACGGTGTTCGAGAACTACGTGGCCGACGTGGAGGTGGACGGCCGGCGGGTGGAGCTGGCGCTGTGGGACACGGCCGGCCAGGAGGAGCACGACCGCCTGCGGCCGCTGTCCTACCCGGACACCGACGTCGTGCTCCTGTGCTTCGCCATCAGCAGCCCGGACAGCCTGGAGAACGTGCCGGCCAAGTGGGCCCCGGAGGTCCGGCACTTCTGCCCCAGCGTGCCCCTCGTCCTGGTGGGGAACAAGAAGGACCTGCGGAACGACGCGGGCACCAGGCGGGCGCTGGCGGCCTGGAAGCAGGAGCCCGTGCGGCCTGAGGCAGGCAGGGACGTGGCCAGCAGGATTGGCGCCTTCGGCTACCTGGAGTGTTCGGCGAAGACCAAAGAGGGCGTGAGGGAGGTGTTTGAGATGGCCACGAGGGCTGCTCTGCACGCCAGACGCGGCAAGAAGAGGTGGGGCTGCCTGGTCCTGTGAAACCTTGCGGCTCGGTGCGAGTGGCGTGTTCGCTGGGCTTCCTGTCTGCTTATTGGCGTGTTTTTTTTTTTTTTTTTCATTTATCAGTGGTTTACCAAAGACTGCAAACCGGAAGTCACCTTGCTACAGTGTTTAGAAGTCAACCATGGTCAATGATATCCAACTCGGCCACCACCACCATCCCCCCCCCCCCCGCCACTGTCCTGTACCCTAACCCTGCCTGACACAGCAGGTGCTGTGAATTTCTTCACTTCTTCTTTCTTGAAAGAGAAAGCAGGTGTCTCTTGTGAATGAGGTTGGAACTACTTTAAAACCAGCATCCCACCTGGCAGCTGCAGGGTACTCTGATGCGTTACCACTGCGGAGCTTTGCTCCTTAGCAGATCTCATTGGTGTACCTCTGGGTATCCAGTTTGTTTCAAAAAAAAAAGGGGGGGGGGAGTGGGGACTCAGCCAGCAAAACCCAAGTCCATGCGGCTGTGGCAGAGTTACAGCTCTGTGGTTTCAGGTTTGTTACCTTATGGTTCCTGTGTAATTAGTGCCACTTAATGTATGTTACCAAAAATAAATATATCTACCCCAGGCTAAATGTGGTTTTGGTATAATTGGATTGCATAATACCGATATTTGCCAACCCTTCAGAATGTGTATTGGCTTGTAAAAAAAAAAAAAAAAAGTAGTGTTTGAAAAAAATTGAGATTGAAGTTTCAATTTCAGTTTTGAAATTCCCACTGTGTTACTATCTCTGGTAAAAGATAACCACATCACTTGTTTTCTACCTATATCAGTACCTGTTTCCAGAGATGAGCTAAGTCAATAGGACTTTGTTTTCACACCTGAGGCAATTAGAATCTGTGGAAGGTGCTATAATCTCTCTCACCTGGCCTGCAGGCTCTGGCTGTAATTCACAGCGCTTTTTCTCTTCACTGGGTCTAGGTTCCCTCACAGAGAAATTGCCAATCTTAAAGGTGGAACTTGATTTCCCGCTTCGCTTTAGTGGACTAATTTTTTTCCCCTGTACTTGTTAATTTTTCCAACTAATAAAATAAAGGTAGTTTCAGCCCCAAAAACAGTGCTGAAGTTTTTTGAAACCTGAAATGGCAAGAAAGGTGGTAATGGAGGACAGATTTCAATGTCACTGTTAGTCTAAATTATTAAGCAACCAGATAGGATTTATAAAGATTTAAAATATATCTTCATGGTGGGAATAAACAAACATTATCTTGGTTTGTAGCTCCATTCCGAATTCTGTAAAACACTGGTAGAAATGGTTTGCAAACTTGTTCAGTACAGGGCCACATCATAAGTATCTTAGGCTTTCCAGACCATTCTTTGTTGTGTATTCTTTTTTTGGTGGTTTATTTTATTAACAACCCTTTAAAGAAATAGAAAGCATTCTTAGCGCTATGCAAAAACAGGCCCCAGGCCAAATTTAGTCCATTAGCTGTAGTTTGCTGTCCCCTAGAAATGAGGTTCTGGGTGTCTGGTTCCACCACAACCTTCTCTGCTATTGTCTACATACATGTCTAAGATGTACAAGGTGAACTTTTTCACTGGAAGTTTTGTGACTGGCCGAAACAGAGGTAAACTTAAAAATTCTGATTACATTTTTTCTTTTAAAAATGCTCATGTTACAAAATAAACAGATACAGCGATTTCATGCTATATTAACATAAAGAGATTCTTTGTTTTTCTTTCACTTATAAAAGTTCAAGAAATACTTTTAAATTTTCAAATTGAGTACTTTTTTACAACAGTAAGTGCATAAATGATTGCTGTATCATCAGAAGTAAATGTATAGCAATTCATTGGGCATTGTAGAGTATCACAAATATATCAAAGTAGAGTATATATTTTTTTGACAGGCAGAGTTAGACAGTGAGAGAGAGAGACAGAGAAGACTTTATATTTTTGGCCGGCGCTGCGGCTCACTAGGCTAATCCTCCACCTGCAGCGCCGGCACCCCGGGTTCTAGTCCCGGTTGGGGCACCAGATTCTGTCCTGGTTGCTCCTCTTCCTGTCCAGCTCTCTGCTGTGGCCCAGGAGGGCAGTGGAGGATGGCCCAAGTGCTTGGGCCCTGCACCCCATGGGAGACCAGGAGGAGGCACCTGGCTCCAGGCTTCGGATCAGCGCAGCGCGCCGGCTGCAACGAGCAGCCATAGTGGCCATTTGGGGGGTGAACCAACAGAAAGAAGAACTTTCTGTCTCTCTCGCACTGTCTAACCCTGCCTGTCCCCCCCCACCCAAAAAAAAAAAAAAAGAGTGAGAAAAGACTTTATATTTTAAAGATAAATGTGTTCACTTATTTTCTGAAATTGCTTTCATAAAAGTGTTCCCTATACAATTGCTGGTTTTTGTAGCATTTTTTAATACATTTTTACTACCCAGACTTTGTGTTTCAACCTGTGTCATTTTTGGACGACTATAAACTAAAATTCTTTTTTGTTCAGGTAGAAAAATAATTTTACAGTGAAAAATGTTTCACTGTAGCTCGTGATGAGACAGGGGTTATTCCACTTATTAGTTTGCACACAATTGTGAGTAAAATATAGTTGCTTAGTTCTAATTCAGAGTATTTGGAATGGTAAAAATTCCAGTTCTTCAAAAGAGGTCAATGAATAAAAAAATGATTTTTCTGAAAATCAATTATATCACTTATATTAAGGCCTTGTGTACTAATTGTGAGCTACATATCAGCAATTACAAGTCACGAAGCAGATAACATAGGCCTGATACTACTGCCGAGAGCAGAGGTCCTCTTTGGAACCAACTCAGCTCTTATGAAACCATTTGATATGAAAACCATCTCTCTGGCTTTAACTTTTTGCAAAACTGAATATCCAGAAGTAGTTTGGCATGCAGATCCCATGATTCCAAATGCACATCTTTGCATGGTTGTAAGATTTCAAAGACATTTAAGTCTCTAGGACAACTTAATAAACTATCAATTTGTTTATTTGCTCCTAATAAATTGTTAGTTGTAGAAAAAAATAAACTATCAATTTGCTTTTTTAAGTATCTGATCTCTAATCTTAAAAATGAAAGAAACTTTTAAAATAACTGTTGGAAAATTTATATAATAAGTGGAACAGATTAAGTGCACATAGGTTTTTTCCCCTACTGAAGTGGTATTAGAATCTCTCTCTTCCTTTAATGAGTTTTGCTGTCAACTTTATCATGTGATCTGATTCTAAATGTTTTTAACTTGAGAATCACTGTCTTGCCTAAAAAAGTACAAATTGCAAAGGGAGTGTCATAATATCTTGCTTCTCTTAGGTGAAAATGACCCATGCAGATGTTCAGGTAAAGGAAATTTGGCCTGGCTATCAAATGGTCATGGATGAAACAAACAAGAATTTCAACTGAAGCCTGAGATTTGCAATCTACATCACTGCTTTTCCACTGAGTAGCATATGAATTGACAATATGATCATCTACTTTCTGTTATCATTAGCTGATTGTATTATTGGTTAAAGCCAGCCTATGAGGATGAACATATAGCTTAATATGCAAATCAAATAAAATGTGAAATACACTTATTTACGATATACTTGCATTATAGAAAGTATGATTAAAATTTAAAGTAATTTAAAAAATTAAAAGTAATTTTTAAAAAGATTTATTTATTTGAAAGGCAGTTACAGAGAGAGAAGGAGGGACAGAGATTGATCTTCCATCCACTGGTTCACTCCCCAAATGGCTGCAATAGCTGGAGTTGTGTCAAGCCAAAGCCAAAAACTAGGAACTAGTTCTCACTGGGTTCTGCTACTTTGTGCCCCAGCCGACTGACTCCTTCCTATTACCTCCCACTACACCCCACTTTCCAGATGCTCTGGTTACTGTCGTTTCTACTGAAGTTTGTTTCAGCAATTTCTACACTGGTTTGGATATTCCTGGTAGGACGCACTATGGTGATTGATTAACACTATTTTGTAAATAAAAAAAAAGTATTGTAGTATTGTATGCGCACTTGTGTGTCACCTGTGTTACAATCATTTGGGTTCCATTTCAGGCTTTGGCTCTGGTTACTAACGTGGAGTTAGCCAAACTATAGTTTGAGTGCATGATCATTTCTGACACCCACTGCAAGGAGTTACAGTCCAGCTACAAAGTAAAAAGGGAAAATTTATACAAGATTTCTCTCTGACTTCTGCACCAACTTAAAAGTCAGTAGTTTCCCAAAGCTACCCTTGGGCTTGCTAATTCACGAGAAAGGCCCACAGTAATCAGGAAGGCTGTTACACACCTGGTGATGACCAATTGTAATGCAGGGGAACAGAGGATTCCACATGCCCTTAGCACATACTGCCTTCTCGGCACTCGTGGTGATAAACACATGTGCAGTGCTGCCAACTGGAGAAGCTGACCCAGGTCTCCCCGTGTGCAGAGCTGTTATGTGGTCCTATTAGGTAAGCCTGATGGATTGACTGATTGCCTCTATAGTTGAGATTCAGCCTCCAGGTTAACTGATACCACATGATTCAAAGACCCAATTCTAAAATCACATGGCTGAGCTTTCTGGTGTGGTCTGCTCTCATCTGAAGATTATCAGTCATGGCCAGCCACATTCTCAAATAAAAACATTCCAGATAGTTATGATACAAATTTCTCTCCAGAAGCTATAGGCAAAGTCCAGACTCCACTGTGAACTACGTAACATCTCTAAGCCTGTGTTTTTTCATCTGTAAAATAAATGTAATCATACTTTCCCTATGACTTTCAAGCCTTAATTCATGAAGAAATGCTGTAATCCTCTATATTTAGAAAAAATCCCAGATAGTAAAAATTTTTTAAAAAAACCTTTTCATTTCTGCTAGAATGAGGTAGCTTCTCTGTCTGAGAGAATACTGTCAAATGGCCCCCACCACAAATCCCATTTTCCAAAGATAATTCTGATTGCATCATGTCCTCAGACAGGCTCTCCCATTGTCAGAGGAATGGTACCTTGTGGTGAGACATCCACTGTACTAACCACTGGCAGGAGAGCCATGTTCTAAGCACTCATTAGCTGTGTGGTGTCATACAGGTAGTCTAACTTCTCTAAGCGTTGGTTTCCTTGTGAAGATAGCGTACTTGCTTTGTGTGATGTCACAGCTTATTAAATCAATTGAATGTCATTGAGTTTAAAAATCATGACAAATATATATGTATATGAAAATACTCATAAGTCAAAATTTAGTGAATAGTAAACCCTCCAGGTACCCCCAAGACAGTGGATTTCAGTAATGTACAGAAGAAGAAAGGGGCTAATATGTCAATACAAAGTGTAATTCTGAGTGTTTCTGTCCCCACAAAAACTCATGTATTACAACCCTAAAGCCCAGTGTGGCTGTATTAAGAGGCTGGACTTTGAGGCTGTGATTTGAAGCAGCTCTGTCTTCATGATTGGGATTAGTGTTCTTATAAAAGAGGTCCCAAAGAGACCCATACCCTTTCTACCATATGAGGACAGAGCAAGAAAATTGTGCTAAACCATGCTGAATCAGCACCTTGATCTTGCACATCCCGGCCTCCATAATGTGAGAAAAAAAAAGTTGTTCTATTGTTCATAAGCCACCCAGTCTATGGTATGTTGTTATTGCAGCTTGT